GGGGGGAGAGCAGGACTCCTCCCACACCTCTCCCCCCCAGGAAGCCTATTCAATTCAGGTCACTGACTGAAAACCCATGTAGATCCCATCCCCATGGCGACTCACCAGCATGGGGACACCCTGCCAGCTTCCCCTGGGCACAAGACCACTGCTAACGCCCTGGGGCCAAGCTTCCGGGGGAGGGCCAGGAACACGTGGGCACGGACTTTGGGCCTCCTTTGCTAGGAATTCAACCCTGGGGGTGCCTATTCAATTCAGGTCACTGACTGAAAACCCATGTAGATCCCATCCCCATGGCGACTCACCAGCATGGGGACACCCTGCCAGCTTCCCCTGGGCACAAGACCACTGCTAACGCCCTGGGGCCAAGCTTCCGGGGGAGGGCCAGGAACACGTGGGCACGGACTTTGGGCCTCCTTTGCTAGGAATTCAACCCTGGGGGTGGTCGGTCGCTGCGAGGGGAGGAGGCGGTTTGCTTGTCACTTGGACCAGCGGACTTCGGTTGTATTGACCAGGACTGCAGGGGTCTCTGGGTTTTCGCCCTGTTCCTGTCACTTGTGCCCAGAACTCTGGCGCTAAGGAGCCGTACGGTGCTCAGCCTAGTCTCTGGAGCACGGGCGGTACGTGACTCCTGGTTGGGGAAGGCTGGACGGGAGCACCTGAAGCTCCCTAGACGTGCACCACCACCCGGATCATGGCCCTGTCCCCTGCTCAGCCCCCTCCTGCCGCCCCCATCCCTGAATGGAGGAAGATGCTAGCAACAGGCAGGGGAGGGGACAGAAGGAGATGGAGGATGGGTGGGAAGAGGAGCAGCATGGGATGGGCCTCAAAGACTAGCAGGAACAGGGCTTCGGGGCAGAGCCACGACCTGGGTGCTCCAAAGGCAGGAGCCAGCAGGCCACCAAAGGAGGGACGTTGCCTCCTATCCGGGGGCTCAGCCGCCTGTTGCCTCTTCTAGCAGCAGGCCAGGCCAGTGAGATGGCTGGGGTCTGCAGAAAGGACAGCCTGCACTGAGATCTAGCGGGACCAGGTCGGCAGGAGAACTGGCTCCTGGCACCTAAACCTCCTACAGTCCCGTGAGGTGCGAGCCCAGGGCCCGATCTAGTGCTCCAGCCCGCCCCAGCGCCTCTCTGACCTGCAGCGGCGGTGCACGTACCTGGGAAGACGAAGATGAAGCAGGCCGCCAGGCCCCCAATGAGCGAGATGACTTTGCCGATGTCGGGGATGAACAAGGCCAGGAGGAGCGTCAGGAGGAACCAGCTGATGGTCTGGAGCACACGCCGGCGTCTCTCGCGCACCACATCTTCCTCCACCGCTTCCCCCTTGTAGCGGAGCCAGAGACCCTCCAGCACAGCCCTGACCGGGAGGCAGAGAAGCAGGAGCTGCCAGGGGCCCAGAGCTCACATTTCCCCTCCCAGCCCCTGGGGTTCTTCTGCCATTGACTTACGTCCACAACAGCAGGGTCTTCAGTAGCCTGGGCACAGTCCGACCTGCCTCGGTCCTTTCCTGTGGGGCTATCTAGAGTGCCGTGACATAGGGGCGGGGCCTCAAGGAGGTGGGGCAACATGAGGGCGGGGCCTCCAAAATGGGAGTGGCATGCGGGGCAGGAGAGTGTCTGTGGCCCCACCCACTTCTAAGGCGCTTCCGTCCCCCCGCTGCCTCTCACCTGCCGCAGAAGTGCAGGATGGGATAGGAGGTCAGCACGCAGAGGATGATGAAGGCCCGTGCAATGGCCACCGGGACATCATTGGAGGGGTAGGACAAGAGCACGTCCTGGTCCACGTCTGCCCCAAATGTCAGGAACCCGCAGACGCCTGGAGGGGAAGGAAAAGCCGGGGAGCATGCCAGCAGGGGGTTTGGATGACGGAGGCGGCCAGGTGTGTCCCGAGCTGGATCTGAGGGTTAGAAGTCTGCGCCTCCGCCGCCCCCATGTGAAGAGCTGCCAGCTATTCCAGCCCGGGGGTCTCTCGCAGGGGGACCCGCCCTGCAGCTCCGCCTAAGGAGAAGCTCACTGTGCCCCCAGCCTGAGCCTTTCAGGAGAACGGGCGGCAGCTGCAGCGGCTGGGCCCCGGGGGCAGGCCGGAGCAGGGAGGCCATGCGCCTACCTGTCCCCGTGTAGACGAAGAGCGCGATTATCATGGCCGCCGTCACCACCGCTCCCCACGGCTTCACCGCCGGGCGCCTCAGGCTGTTGAAGACGGGCACGCTGCTCACGTGGCACTGCCAGAGACAGAGAGGGAGCATGCACGGGGCTGCCGGGCCCAGCCCTGGGCGGGGCCTGCCTCAAGGCTGCCTTGCCGCACACTGGAGCGCGTCCCCAGGCAGGCGACCAAAGCAGGGGACGGCATGGCACGGAGAGGCGCCTGGGTTTGTCTCTGGGTGAGGGGGTCTGACTATACCTGCCCCACCCGCCAGCCCAGCACAGCGTGACGGAGGAAGAGCTCATCCAGGGGGCAATGCCTAGGAGTGTTCATCAGCCAGTCAGAGGGACGCAATTGGGAGAACAAACGTGAAATGAACGGGACTCGTAGCCTGAATCCCCAGGGAAACACCCTGCGAGCCAGGGGCTGGGGACCAATCTCCCAAGGAAGTGGGGGAAATCCCCATGAAAACTCGACAAAGCCCTGCAGGGAGCAAGCCAGCTCTGGCCACAAGAAGGAGCCTTAAGTGGAGGACAGCAGGTCACCTCCAGCCTCAGCTTTGAGAGCCGTTTTACGACACTGTTGGTTGCTTGCATTCTTCCCTGCAGGGCTTTATCCCATCACAGGCCCTAGGCCGAGGCCTTGATGGGGGCAGCAGGAACCTGGGCATTAAAGCGAGGGAGAGGGGGAACCTAAAATAATCCAAGAGGGGCAGCAGAGACAGGCATCCCCTGGAGTGCCACCCTCCCATGCCATACCTGGAATCCGAAGCAGATGGTGGGCATGGCGTTGAACACGGCCATCCAGGAGGAGGGGCTGCGGAGAGGGAAATCACAGACAGTTCACATCCTGCTGCCCACGCAAACACTTCGGGGAAACAAACAGCATCTGAAGAAGTGGGTTGCACCCACTGAAGCTCATGATCCCATCGACACGTTTTGTCTGTCTCTAAAGTGCTGCAGGACTATTTGGTGTTTTTTAAGTTGTAACTCGGCTCCCCCTCTGAAACACATGCGCAGTTGCCCTCCAGAGGGCATTTGGGGGTGCACCTTGGCATGTTCATTTCACTGCAGTGCTGCACAGCGGCCTATATTTTCACAAGGCCCTAGATTTCGGGGTGTCCCACTGGACAGCTTAATGGACCCCAATTTTCAGAAAAATGCTAAGCAGCCAGCTTCTGAAAAAAATCAGGTCTCTTTAGAAGGGCATCTCAAGTCAGGCACCCCAAAAAGAGGTGTGAGAAAGTCACTAGCCACTCTTTAAAATCTTGGCCCCGGTTTCCCTATTTAGATTGTTCTAAGAAAAAAAACCCGATACATTGCTAAGCAAATTCAAAGGCAATTAGATGATCCGGCTAGCTCTCTGTTTGGATGGTGGGTGCAATGCTGCAGAAGAAAAATCACATTATTTGACAAAACGTAACGAGCCTTCTTGTGCAAAACAGGTACAGGGGGAAGACTCAAGACTTCTTACTTCGACTCCTGGAGCTCTCATTTCACGAGGAGTAATGGAAGTCGAGGGAAGAGGGCTCTTCCTTCCACTTCCTACTCTGTAGGCAGTGCCAAAAGCCGAGTTACGTTATTTCGACTCCAACTACGCAACAGACGTGGCTCAAGCTACATAGCTTTAGTCAGCTTTAGCCCTGCTGTGTAGATGCACCCTGACTCAAGAGAATACAAGAGAGTTCTGAAATACCATTGGAGATGGTGAACTGAATCTCTCGCTCACCCGTAAACGTGCCATAAAATACACCACATCCTAGCTACAGAGAAATGTAACAGAGGCCGGCAATTTGCTCCCCCCATAAGCCACAATATAATGTGATACATTTCATTTGACTTAAATGGATAGTTCCATTGTTAACCTCTACTTGATTGTATTGGCAGGATAAGAGAAATAACTATAGAAGAGACCTGCTGCATATTTTATCTGTTGCTGGGGTGTTCAAAACTGCCCTGCAAGGATAACATCCTATATTTTTGCCTGTTCAGAGTGACCATTTTCAGGTTCTCTCTCTAACCATTAGGAAACCCCAGCTTGCCCGTAAGTGAAGCAGCTCTTTCAAGCCCTGATGGCTCGTAAGAGAGCAGACTTGAAAACACAAAAGCCAGCAGTTACAACAGGGACAGGACAGAGCCAATACTTTGTCTACACTACCAAGTTCTGTTGCCCAAACCTGCCTTTTGGCGCCAAAACAGCGAGATCATTCACACTGCAATGAAACTTGTGTTGGGAAAAACACCCAGTTCTGGCAAAAAAAGCTTCCCCTTCTCCCCAGTAAGAGACTTTTGTCTTTTCTCCTCCTTTTATTGTGGGCAAAGAGCCAGCGTGGACTCTGCTGTTTGTTTTGGGGACAGAACTGGCTTCATGCCCGCCTTGATAGCTGTGCTCAGTGTTCTGTGATCTCTGCTGCCCTGCAGGCGTGTGCCCCTCCCCTTTCAAAGCTCCAGGAAGTGTCTGACAGCTGAGTGAGCTGCTCCATTTCGGGAGCAAAGAACAAATCTTTGGAATGATCCTGTTCTGCCTGGCTAGGAACACAGCATCAGGCAGACAGCTGCTGCCAGGGGAGGGCTGGAGAGACAGCTGTGGTGATCTGACATTCCTTAGCCCCTAGAACTCAGAGCTGCTCGGGATGCTGCTCCAAGCAGCTGAGAATGTTCTGGGAGGATTCAAGAGAGAATCCCAAGATGCACAGGGATCAGCTCTACCTTCCCACAGCGTAGCACTATGGGATACAGCCCCACAGTGTACTGCTCACACTGTCGATGATGGTTTCCCCCAACGTGGACATGATCTGTTGAGAGTAAGTGTGAACATAACCGCCTGTGGGCACATTTGAACCGGACCACCCTCTGGCGATTTGTGTTTTGGGTCTCAACATTTTTTGTCAACAAAGCTTGGTTATGTAGACATACCCTGAGTGGTAGACATACCGGACATTTCTGCAGACTGTCATTAACACACCAACAATGTTCTCAGTGCTGCATGAATAGGAGATGGACACAGTCCCTGGCCCAAGGATCTTAATCTCCCAGGACACGATACACAGGCAGACTCACAAGGAAGCTAGAAGGTGCTCTCTCCCCTCCAGTATAACACTGGGGCAGACGAGGCATCTGGTTATCGGGCGTTAGTGTTTACACACGTTATGGAAGTGGCTTTAATTTCCCTCGGCGGGATTGGAATAAGGCACTTCAATTAAAAGCAATCCATTGGTAAGTTTTAGTTCAAAATGTTCCTAAACATCCCTTCATCCCCCGATCTCACTGATGGCCCAGCAGAGTCCGGTTTTGAAGCGTGGGCGCCGTTCTTGCCTACCGCGTGGGGATGTGCCCCGGCGTGATCTCCTTGTCAGGCCAGATGTACTTCAGGATGACGACGGCAGTGACGTACCATGTGCCAATCACGCTCAGGGAGCTGTAAGAACGATTAGACAGATGACAACACGGCCCCTCATCTCGGCTCCCTCTTATTCCTTGTTCAGAGCCTCTCGGAGGAGAGCCAGTTGAGCTTGGACAGGGACTTCTTCCAATGGCTTCTCCTGCTCCCCAGTACGTCCCCCTGGCTCTCCCAGCAGGCCAAAGGGAGCTGATTTTAGGGCCGCAATATCACACACTGCCCACACAAACATGTCCCCAGGAGGAGAGAGTTAAAGAAACCCCTGACACAACCCAGTCCCTGTTTCTCTACACTCTTCTCCCCCCCCCCAGCCCAGCCAAGGTGCCAGACACCCATAAACCCCTCCTCCCAGAGCTCCCCAGCCAATACACCGAGTTCCTCCCACCCCAGGCCTAACCGTGGGGCTCGCTAGCCCAGACACTCGTCCCCCCCCACCCTTCCCAGCCCAGACACCTACCCCCACTCCTCCCCCAGAGTCCCGGGGCGTAAAGGAAGAAACAGCCTGATGTTCAGTGCCAGGCTTGCTCAGGGATTCCTGCCTGTCAACCTCTCCTTCCCCCGGAGCATGCTGGGAAATGCAGCTGCCAGGAACCTTTTGGCTCCTTTCTGAAATCCAGCAGCGTCTGCTCCGTAGCCCCTAGAGGTGCTGCTTGTGCAACTTTAATTTCTGCAAAGTTCTGCAGAATTCCCCCCGGAGGACACCATCGATCCAGCTCCTCCAGCGGTAGCCGTAGAGTAGCCCAGCCACCAACTGCCACTGACTTGCTAACCAGAGTATCTCCTGCTGTCCAGCCCTGCTGTGAGCAATCAGCAGTTAAAGCAGCAGATGCCCGTAAGAGCCAGTGCTAGCTCTGGGAACTGACACACATGCAAAGGGAAGGGTTAGCAGAGTCTATGACACCCCATGGGACCGTTGTTCCCAGGGAGAAGTCAGAGACCCAGGGAACCCACGCCTGTCACCCTAGGGTCCTGCTAAGCTTGGTACAGAAGAGCTGGAGAAATTAGTGCTTGTGATATAGTGCCCCAATAGGACGCTTTTCATACTAAGACATGAAAGCCTTTACACCCCATTTTACAGGTGGGGAAACCGAGGCACGGCGGTGCTGCGACTCAACCCACGGTCACAGAGATTATTAGCAGAGCCAGGACTAGAACCCTGCTCTGCTCGATCCCGGTCCTGCACCCAGCTCGTTGGTTCCATCTCAGAGAGCGACTGAACGCTGGGCAGGGCCTCCTGCCTGCCCTCCCACCCCACAGCTCCTGGTGTGGCTTTCCCCAGCCACCCACCTGGCAGATTTCTGGAAGCCAATCTCCTTGGGGATGGAGAGGGGCAGGGTGAGGCGGCAGGGCGGGG